AAAGGCGCGGGTTCTTCGTCTCATCCCCGGGATGGGTTTCGCATCTCGAATCCCAGGGCCCGGTCTACTTCGAACGAGTCAGCCGCGTGCGGGCGCCAAGATCGAAAGCTCGAAGTGGAAGCCGGGCCGGGGTGAGGCCAGAGCTATGGCCGAGGCTTCCATGGTTTCCACTGCTTCAAGCTGGGAGGGGTAAACCCATTGGCAGGGAAGTAGGTGTCACGATTTCAAGTTACACATTTTAGTTTCGGAGACCTTTTGGAAACAACCGGCTTTTCCATCAAACCTACAAACGGCTAGACCTTTTCCTCAGGTGGAAAGAGCAGCCCAGCTATAACCGCGGTTGCTCGCCTTACCTGACAAAGTTTGGACTTTGAAACCGCAGCGGAGCGGTGGGCTTCGATTGGCCTAGGCGGCTGACGAGAGCAAGGACATAGTGCCCAGCCCTGAGACGACGGCAGACACCTGAGGCCCAGCCGAAAAAAAGGGCCGAGGGGCACCTACGAGGCCAACGAGTATGTGGGGTTTGGAGGTTTTTTTTTGGGGGGGCGGGGGTGGTTGCTCAGGACGAGACCCATGAAAATAGTCTGCACGGCCGCAGGGTCTCAAGATTGAATGCTTCCTTGGCTTTCACAGATTGCAATGGCAGTACTGCGTTGTAGGGACTTGGCCATTCAAGACATCGCCCTTTTTACCAGACCCAAAGGCAGGACGATTTGGCGCGGGTGATGGTCAGGTGGATATTTGCGAGAAATGTAGCAATCGAGCGCTGCAAGAACTGGGGGCGTTTTTGCACTGAGCCCCGGTGCACCCAGTTGAATATCTATAGATATAGAAAAATGCACACACACATATACATATATATGCATGTATATATATACCCCCTAGGTTTCTTGGGGATGGATCTGATTTGGTCCACCTATTCTGTGGCCAGCTCAGCTGGTGAAAGGAGCTCACCATTGTAGGTCCTTTACTTGGGGGTCCCTTCCTGACTCAGATCAGTTCGGTTGGCATCGACTGCCAAGGGAGTCCTTCGCCGAGGCTCTACGTCCCTGGAATCGAGTTTTCCGGCGCATTTGCAGTCCCGCCCCAAGCGAGGGCGGCGCGTTTTTTTTTTTTGCGCATCGGTCGTGGAAGCTCGGTGGCTTCCGTTTTCTTTGTTTGGTTCACGGTTTCCTTCTTGAATCACCCAAAGATGAAATTGCTCCGTTTTTGTCAGGGTCCCTGGCAACTGGGAGCCAGGCAGGAATAGACTCCATGGTTGCGATGGGAATTGCCGCATATGTTGAATAGCCTGGCTGGCACCGCGTGCTATTGGCCTTGCGTTTGAAGCCCGGCTCCAGGACAACTCGGGAACGATCTTACTTATTGTGCTGGCAAGCTTCGTTGGTAGGGGTTTTCATCACCGTGAGGGGCAAGCAGCTTCCTCTCCTGCAAATACGACTTGGAACACCCCAAAAATGGGCCCCCGTTACTTTGAAGAGGAGTGAACCTGTTCCCAGCCAGTCAATTCGGTAGTAACAAGAAGCCGCCATGCAGGCCCCGCAATTCCGTTCACTCGCTGCAGACTTTGAGCCGGGAGCTGAGTGCGTGGTCTTCCCGCGGAAGCCGCTGGAGTGGCTCTGAGGCAATTAAGGAGAGAAGGAAGCCAACGGTTAGTGTCAGAACCTACGTTTACGTGATACAAAAACTGAATTGACGTCTTATAGGCATGTTGTAGTCAAATATATATATATATATATGTATATATATATATATATGTATATATATATATATAGACATCGTTTTTGCTGGAAGGATCCTAGCTCCACTTCTGCTCTTCTTTTTGGCAGGCATGGGAGCAGGCAAACCCAAAGCTGTCCCTTGAGACAGGCTGCCATGCGTTGCCTCAGGTTGTGGCGATGCTGGGTCACGGCCGACAACCGCACGCCACCTTGCGGCACTGGGCTGGTGGACCAGGATCTCCAGTGGGAGGCTTCCTTTGTTCAACTTCTTCCTGTTGGTTTCTTTATTTTTTGAGGGGGGGGGGAGGGTCCAATTGAAACCTTTTTTTTTTTGAGGGGGGGGGAGGGTCCAAAAGGAATCCACCAAGGGAAGTGTAGTACATGTTGTCCGGCGGGAGTGTGTCGGGATGGGCTCTGGAGGTTTGCAGGTGATATACCGCTCTTATGCAAGGGCATATATTGCCTCTCAACCTTACTTTGGCGGTATACAGGCACCCATACGTCCAGAAGAAAATCCAGGAAGCGCCTGACCTGGTGGTCTTCATCCGCCGTTGCTACTCGCCTGTCAAAAGCAATCCGTAAAAGCCTTATTATAGAGGTCCTGTAGTGCTTCCTTTTTTGTAGTGGTGGCCCAGTGGTGGCCCTCTATTGGATTCCGGATGAGGACTAGGACCACCCCCCAGATTGAACAACCCATTTTGAAGCTCAGCCGTCTAGCGGCCGCATAGTTTCCTGGTTTGTCGGTTGGTCCTTCCTCACACGCCGCAGCGTGCACATTGGTGCCGTGGCCAGTGGGCAACTATGCAAGAGTTTGCTTCGCGTGTTTTGCAGGCGTGCGTTAAGGCCTCAAGAAGCACCCGTGCCAGTGGGAAGTGGGCATGAGCTGATCTCACCTCAGTCTTCACCTTACGGCCGCTTTCCTAGCAAAACAAGTCTTGCAGACACTGGGTGCCGAAATAGGACAGCAGACTAGCAGACTGCGCACTCATACGAAGACGGCTTGTGTTCCAGCGCCAGTCAGGCCCTTCGACGAGATGGTGCGCAAGCTGCAGGCGCCTGTTACGCCGTGCATCTTGCGTCACTCCCTTGGTGCTCTGGGTGCTCGGTAATCGCAGCCTTTTTTGCCTATAGAGTAATGACTGCCAGACTCTAGGTCCGTGAAGGGACCTTGCCAACCAAACATGTCCCCGGAACGTGTCACCAGGGATGGACTCCAGCGCCAGAAGCACGTTGTCAGGCAACAGGCGGTTTGGCACTCGTACATAGCAAAGATAGAAAAATATTGGTCTTTCACCCTTCAGGTTTGCTCGAGAAGGTCCAAGTGTCCATTGAGAAGTAATTTGACTTTGCCTGGCCGTCCCATCTTTGCCATGTTTCCCCACACCACCAGCCTGCCGCGTTGCCTTAGAGCCCCGCGCTCCATCGGGCAAACTGTGCCAGGCATGGATTGGTGAGCAGCTGCAGGATGGCCGCAAGGTGTGACCTTGGTGGGTGACAGGTCAGTTCCTGGCTGCTGGTCACCGGGTTTCCAGTTGCAAGAGTTGGCTCGCTCCAATCACACCGCGACATGGTCTGAAAGGGGGAAACGAGGGACCCATGTAGCTCGGATCGCTAGAGGGGTCTGCTTTAGCGGGAAAATCATCTTCCAGAGCGCTAGCCGTTTTGAGTGTGTTGTTCTTGAGGCCTTTGTCACCTTCATGAGGGGTCCGTTTAGTCCTTTGATTCCCAAATAAGAGAGGGCAGCTCCAAACCAACCAAAAACAATGTGAACCGCTGCTTCCACCGATTCTCAGGCTGGCTGAGATGATTTCTCAAGATGGTAGGGCCCCTGATTGGCATGTTGTATAGAGGGAAGCCCAAGGTATTTCCAGGCCCTGCAAGTGAGAGGCTGAGATTCAGGTGCATAGGTGTCCTTTTGGGTTGTTTTGGTAGACAAATAGATGGCCCTGGTTTACCCGGCGGTTCAATCATTTACCAGGGCCATCTATTTCCCCTCAAAGGACACCTACTTTGGATGGACGAAATCCTGCACCACCTAAGAAAAAATGGAATGATGATTCTCCTGTAAATACCAACAAACGTTATGGTTTCCCATGGTTTCTTAGGTGGTGCGAAACGGATTTCGCAACCATCCACAGTATCAGGTGATTCTGCTGGGCGAGTCCTTCGGTGGCCTCCTCTCCTTGGCCGTGGGCCTCCGCCTGGGCCGGGAGAAGCTGAAAGGCGGATCGGCTTCGCGTCGTCGCCGGGGCTGTTGAAAAACAAGGCAACGGACAACGCTGGTGCGTTGTTTTTTTGTTCACTTTTGGGTTCCCTTGTTCAGATTTTCAATCCTGGATTTAGACCTGGTTCTTGGGTCTTGTTCGGGGTTTCCCTTTTGTTGAGGCCCATTTCGGCTTTCAAAGAACGTTTCGACAGTCAACGCAACTACAAAACAACGAACAGCACGGTATCGCGATGAGAGCCCGGTGCAAGCCCGACCCATTCGGGATCCTTTCTGGTTTTGGGCAGACCCGGCTGGCTGGGAAAACAACTGCCCCCTTCAAAATAATTACAAGTGAAGGAGTCGTTTTGTTTGGGAAAATCGCGGCATGGTTCCAAACAAAGGCAATGCAAAAGAAAGAATTTGCAATGGTTGTCTAACCTCAGCGTGCTGGTACACATGAAGAGGTCCTTTTTGCCAGGATGAAGCTCATACAGTCAGGGCAATGTCCTGTTGCCAACTGACTGGCAAGGTAAATCATGTACTTGTAGGTTCTGGGAGTGAGGGCACGTCACAACAAGCGCTTCAGGTCCGGTTTTGCATGCTGCAGTCGGCTCAAGCTTCCGAGCGGATGGGCTGACTGTGTCCTTCTAATTTGGCGGCTCGGCATGTCCCAGTAAATAGCGGAGGGGTGTGCTTGCTTGTTTGCTCCGCTGCGGGAAGGCCTTTGCCAAATTGTGCGCAGCTCTTGTTCATCTTATTGCTTTCCACGACGATCAAACTGTATGTATATATATATATATACATATTGTATATATATATATGTATATATATCTATAAATCACACAGTTGCATTGTGGCATGACGGTCTGAAGTGAATGTGACCCACGCTTGCGCGAATGATTCGCACTGGAGAATAAATCAGTCTCTAGGGGGAAGACATGCGTCCGGCAACCAGGAGCCTGCCAGTGTAATTTAAGACGACGTCAGCTGCGGGTACAACGGGCTCACCGATGATGGTCCCTTACCGCACCGGGGGATCCGGCGGAGCAGCTAAGGTGAGGCCCGTCTCGAACATGATGCCCGGCACTCGGATGCCCCCTTGCCCGGCGATTCATTCGGTGGAGGGACAAATTCCTGCACCAGTTGGGAGAAGCCACGTGCCAACTGGTGCAACAAGATTATCCATCCACAGAATGGATTCATCGCATCCTCTGAAATTTAGATTGACCAACCATGGGTGCCCTGGGTTCCCATCTTCTGGATATGCTTCTGGACGGTTACTTGGACCACCGACGCTTGGGAGATGCTGAAACATTGATGGGAATGGTCAATGTGTGCTTGTTTGCGGTTTGCGGTACCCTGTTCAGGTTGGTTTAGAAGGAAACCAAAAGCAAAAACCACCCCTTTGGGGTCCTTCTTGACACAGACCCGTTTGGGTCGCCTTGTTTGTCAGGTGTCTATGACTCACCTGGTGCCCAGGTTCGTTTTCCATATGGCGCTGGTTTTCCAAGCGCTTGCAAGTGAGCCAGGACTGTGGGATTTGGACCCACAAGTTACACTGTTGCAGAGGGGGTCAACAACCCAAGTAAACAGCAATTGAGCCACAATCAAATCCCGGCTAGATGAAGGTTAGTAAGGGACAATCCCAACCATAAATAGCTGCGGCCGCCTTCTTAATTCTTTACATGGTTATGGGTCGACCATTTTAATACCGGGTTTTGATTGTGACTCAGTTGATGTTGGATTAGAAGAGGTTTGGGATTGTTTTTTTGAAATCCCTATTCAGCGAGATGCCATTGCTGGTCAGAAGCGTGTTTTGGTTCTGACATAATAGGGTTCCTGCTTGCATGAAGATGACGTCTCAACCGTCACTCATTTTGACAAATCAGCACCGATGTTTACCAGGAGTGTGTAGGACTCTCTTTTGGGCACGTTTGGACGGAGCCTACCCATGTGTGTTTCGGTCACCCCTATTTGGAAGTCCTGTTTCGAAGCCAAGTATTTTCACCATAGGGTATGAAGGAGAGAAACTGGGGCGGGGCTTCAACCTTCGACCAAGGGGATGACTTGGGTCACGTTAAGATGATGGGCCCACGGTTTGGTGCTTCGAGACTTCCAGCCACTGGCCACGACAGAGTTCACGGAACCAGCCCCATCGGAGTGGAAAGGCTGAGGCGCATTTCAGAGATGCCTCCAATGGCCGCCCTTCGCCCAAACAGGCGCATCATTCTCCCAAAAGGGGGTTTCCCATTTGCTTTAGGAGCGGTTTTCAGCTTCCGTGTTAGTCAGCTGGAGGGAAGTCCTTCAATTCCAACCTTTGCAAACTGTGTTTGCGACATCCTGCATGTCGCCCAAAGGGCCCAAGAAGCTCAACGTTCATTTTCCACGGGTTTTCGGGAGTGAGAGGGAGTGCAGGAGGAGCTCAGTCACACGTTGCTATCATGCGCCTCAGCTGCGTTGGGTCGGTCCTATTCTTTTGAGCTCAGTTTGGTTGAAACCAGGTTGCTTCCGCTGAATTCGAATCATGTTCCAACAGAACCCATCCAAGCCAATTGATGCGAATTGTTTCTGATGCTCCCAAGTTTAAGAGCTGGGCAACCAAGGTTTAGGTCGCTTTAGCCGCGGGGCCTGCCTTAACATGTGTGACCAATGGAATCCTTCAATTTTTCGGAGCAAGGCCCGAGCAACTAAACAGAGATCACACTGGGGCTAATTTCACCCCTGGTTCTTGCAGAGGGCAAATGGGAAACCCCTCCTCAACCACCAAACAACCAATCCAAACCACCAACTGGAAGGAAGCTGAAGAGATTCAGAGTTAGAAGCCTTGTTTGGAAGAAACACAGCTGGGCGATGCAAAAGGCTTCAGGATACCAGACAAGCGACTAATTCCAATCAGACCCGTGCGAGCGTTTATACGAACGGGTCCCGATTTGATTGCACCAAATGACAGTCATGCGTTAGTCTGAAAGGAACAAGGGAGTCTGTCACTGGACATATTTTCTTGTGTTTTCCGGGGGGGGGGTGTCAACAAATGGAAGTGTTTGCATTGCGCCCAAAACCCCCCAGTGGCCATTTTAGTTGGCCCTACTACCTGGCTACATACGCTATATGGTTTATAGTGTGTAGTAAGGCCTTGTAGCCAACTTGTCAACTCAGTCAACTTGTCACCAATCTCAGGCGCAGCGAGTCGATGCCTCTTGACTGCACGAGGTTGAGTTTACGGCTTCTCAGTAGAATGGGAATCAGCTTCCAGCATCTCCAAGGGTACCCGAAATGCCCTTGTTTGGAGGGTCGGCCTTCGGGAGGTGTCTTTGGACCTTTTGGTTTCTTTTGTGTTGTTCCATGTTTAGTCATTGTCCCAAAGCAGGCCATGCAGGAACACCAAGCGCAGCCAAAGCTCAGATGGAAGGAAGCCAACGTTGTCCCCCCCAATTCTTAAATGTTTGCGTGTCAACACCCACCTGCCTGTTTCAGTTTGACAGGGCACCAGGCCACTAATGTAAAGCCAGCGGCACCCAACTTCAAGCCGAAGCTGATTGGTGGGTGTCCCAAACTGCTTGACAAACACTGCTTACAAGTGCTGGCCATTGGCAAACTTCTCTTTAAACATTTGGCAAAAGAGCGCCTTGTCACGGTTATTGTTAGGCAACATTTCACATTTTTGCTGGGAAATCCCCACTTAACTGCTGAAACTCAAATCTTTGCTTCCCTTCCAACGTCAACCAAGTTGTTGCCACTGCCTTCCCTTTCGGCAGGAGGCAGGACTTTCCGTCCGACCCCCTCCTCGGCTATGGCGTGCCCGGGCTTTTCAGAAGCCGCGTGATGCGGGCTGCGGGGGATCTGCGAACTTGAGGTGAAGCTCACCGATTTGCAGGTGGAACTGGGTTTTGATTTGGTATCTCGATGAGTTTTTGTGGCTTCTTGGAGGATTTTTGACTTGGGGTTGTTGGCCCAAGGTGAAGCCCACCGATTTGCAGGGTTTGGAACGGTGTGGTTCCCATTCGACTCGGTGTTTCGATGGTTTTTTGGGGCTTCTTGGAGAATGTTTGGCTTTCCAGCTGTTGGCTCCATTGTCAGCAACTCCCCGAGATGGGAAACTTGATGTCACAATACTTGCAAGTAGGCATGAAGGACAACCCTGCAAGTTCCCGTGGTGTGTGTGGCAGGTTTGCTTGCGAACGTTCTGGCGCCAGCATCAAATTCTTGGGGGTCGCAGAGTTCGCATATCCATGTACATGTTTACACATCCAAACCTATACTCAAGGTATAAATGTAAATCTATATATACATATGTCTACACACATTGCATGCTTATGACGCACCTGTGTTTCGAACGGTGAGTGTCTCGATGGGCAAGTGTTTGGATAGAACATACATGTTTGACAACGTTCGATCTTCTTGGCTTGACATTCCTTCCCTCTTTGGGATCTTTGGACGCAAAGAGGATTGTCCAGCGGCTACTGGGTGCTGGCTGCCCCCTCCCAGAGAAGCTGAAGAACTGCTTGGTAGATCTGCATTCCATTGGATTCAGCGTCTTGCCTGAGGCACCGCACGGCATCTTGGCTCAGCACGGGTGTGTGACGCTGTCGCCTTCGTGACCTTTGGGGCCCATTTCAGTTGGAGTCACGTCAAGGTGTACAAGCTGGACTGTTTTGGGCTCGCGTACGGTTTCAGAACGCAACGGGCCCAACACCTGAGATTCCAACTCAGCCCCAGCAGTTTTAAAAAGAAATAAAGCGGAGGCTTGCTCGGTGTCAATTTGGGCTCAGGAAAGGTCCAAGGATCCGTGGAACGTCACAAGTAGATTTCTTGGCGGCTGCACGTTCTGCACACAGCGGCTTACGATGCCCCGCATGTGTGCCGTATCCCAACACCCTCCAAGCACTGTACCGTGTGTTTCGATCATCATGCCTTCAATCTCGCCCACTGAATTGACCAGTTGAAGCCTGATTTCCCAAACATTGCGAGATGAACGGTCCTGCAACGGGGATGTTGAGAAAAGGGAGCGCAACAAGTTGCTTTTCATTGGCTTCCTCAAAGACAAGCCAAACGTCTGAACCACAAACTTTGCCAACCAGAGATTGGAGGTCGCTAATGGCACAGCTCAAACGTTGCTTCCTAGAAGGATTTAACCTTGTCGGTAGTATGTTGCAATCGGCTGGGTCCTGCCTGACAGCTTTCACTGTGTGCAGACTTCAACCGTTACTGGACGGCAGACTGTAGCCAGAGCCGAGTTCTCTGCCCTCATTCAGGTTGTCCGATCCTGTGATGCCGCCATTATCTGTACAGACAGTAAGTACGCCATGGACCTGTTTAACCAGGTGGCCGGGTGTAGCCAAGCAAAAAAGTACATTAAGTCTGAACATTTTGACCTGATCATCATGCTTTGTGACTTGTTCTCTTCAAAAAGGGCTGCCGACTTTGTCACTCTAAAGATCAATGCCCACCTTGAAGACGAACAGATCACAAGTCCGCTTCAGGGGTACGCAGTTTTGGGAAACCGCCATGCCGATTATGCTGCCAAGAAAGCAGCTTCGCCCGAAGCTGGTGCCTTTGCAGCTCGTGCATTTGAGGTGTGCGCTTTTTATAAGAAGCAGACCAGGCTCAAAAAAAAATTCTTTGAACTTGCGGCTCAACTTGACAAAGTGCGCCTCGATGCCCTTGACAAGAAGCGCATTGCCGAAAAGCTTGAAAGCAAAAACCGTTGCACTGCCACAGCTCTGAAAGCATGGCAGCCTCAAGAGTGTGCGCCCCTACCACCGATTCAGCTGACTGATGATCAGCTAGCTTCTTTCCAGTCAGGCGCCTCACTTACTGTTGTTCTATGTGAATGGGCTGCAACATTGCAGTGGCCGAACATCAAGCACCCTGATGACCCACCTGGTCGAACTTGTATACAACTTCTTGCTGGTCACACAGACCACACTGCCCCGCATTGTAGCTAGATCTGCAAATCGGGTAACTTACGTGTATCCAACAGACCAAGGGCCCTTGGCCCTCCTTCCTGGTGCCTTGGAGGATGCATGCCGCCTATTTGACGCGCTTGATAAGCAACTTAAAAAAATCTATGGGAAGGACCTCTTCCCACTGCACCTTCGAGGCAAGATGCCTTTCCTTCGATACTTTGGTTGCAGTCAAAAACGCGTCGGCTACTGTGCCAGACCACTCATGCTTCGAAGCCTTGAAACAATCAGCGGAATCGCGGAAGGCCTTCAAAAAGGCACAATCAACTCGTTGCACGTTCCCAACATGCCACCGCTCATTCAGAAGAGACATCATCCAAATGATGACCTGTCGCCGGATGAGGTATATGCCACCTTCCGTAGGCACCAACAGCGTGCTTACGCCAGGTGAGGGCAAGTCTTGCCCAGGGGCGTGAATTCCGTCCCTTTTTCGTTCTGGGGGCCCCCGTCAATCGACAAGGGCGTTTCAGCGGACATGGATTGAAGACCGCAGGCCTAATTTGAAGTGAGTTTCCTTTGAGAGGGGTGACGTTTGAGGAGGGAATTTTGGGCAGCCTTGTCACTGGAAGGGCTTGGCAGAAAGCCTTCGCCAAGGCGCCTTGCAAGGCTACGGCGGCATGCCGCTCGCCTCTAGCCCTGGAGGCCTGAGGGTATGTTTCATGATCAACCCCAAACCGGGGATTTGCGCAGACAATATGGGTATGGGTCAAAACTAAAGAGCTGGAGTTACGCGGGGTTTAGTCTTTGGTTCCAGGCCATTGGCCATGCCATTTTGGTACCACTTTTTTTTGAGCCACAGCCATAAATTGGCAGATTTGAGACGAGATCACGCAACTGAGATCAGCCGACCTCCGGGAGTCCGAAAGCCATTTGGCTGCGCCTCCAACTCATATCCTCCATAGAATCCTTCGAATGCCTTAGTAGGACACCCAGGTCACAGTTACCAGTATTGTAGGAAACCATAGCTAACCACTTGTTTCCCGCTTGGTTTTCAATTGGTGGTTGAGTCTTTGCTATGTACGTGCTAGACGGAAAAAAGGAATGCATCACCGGGACATCGGCGAAGGCCGATTTGGCTTTGCCAACTTGGCGCTGGCCAAATGTCTGCGATGGTGCACTTAGATTTCAGTTCAGCGCGAAGAGCGCTCATTGCGTGCTGCTTGCCGTTCTTTATACGGAGGCTTTGCGCTTCGCAAAAGAACAAAAACGGGAAACAAGGGAAAACAAACAAAAAAACTAAGAGCGCCCACAAATTGGCATGCACCGCTGGGCTGTACGCTTTCTAAGGCTCACGGTGAAGTCTCCTACTGGAGCATTCCCAGTGTAGGCCATCCGACCTTCAGGTGGGCTGCCTGGCCTGAACCTCCCGAAGATCGATCTAGGCCCGGAACGCGCGCGTACCGCGCGCCTTGCGGGTGGTTGGTGCCCGCACAGGTGAGGCTTGGAAGGAACCTTTTCAGAGTTGCTTGGTTTTTTTTGCAGGAGGGTGTTGAACACTTTTGTCAGGGATAGCTTTCAGGACCTGGGGATTCACGCAATTCCTGGGACACTAGCCGCATACGTTCAGACCGTCTCTCACCATGGGGTGCTCGTTGTGAGGACATTGCGCCCGATGAAGCCTGCTTAGGCCTTCATTCTGCTTGGGCATTTAGGTTCCGACAAGCCCATCACTTTGGATTTTCCCAAGGCGAAACCAAAAGGGGATGTGTTGCATTTTTCTGGAACCCCTACTTAAGACACCGATATGAGAACCGAGATATGAAGCCCGACACGGACCTAGCCGAAGCTTACTTGACAACGCAGGCATGAAGCCAGTGATTTGTGCCGTGCGAATTGCGGAACATCCTTCATGTGTCAAAAGCTGAGCTTTGAGCCTTTAATGTTTGTTTGGGCTTGACAGGGTTGGCCTTGCTACCAGGGAACCAACACCAGTGTTCTCCCTGGTAAAGCCTGCTTCGTAAGCTGTGTGAGAAATAGCCCAGTTTCTTCTTTTTTTTTGCCCGAAGGGAGAACACGTGTGTATGTCTATATATATATATGTGTGCTTTGTATTATTGTCCCCTAGTTAGCACCCAGTAAGTAAGGGACAGATAGAACAGCAAAATAAATATGTTATATTATCAGGAAGTAATATTTTTGTTTGAATCACATCTCTATCATTCATTCCTCTTTTTTTTTTTAAAAAAAAAGAAGAAGTTGTTTTTTTTGTTTCCTTTATCTTGGCTGCCCTGAGATCCCCCGCTAAAACGTTTAACGTTTAGTGGGTTAAATGAAATGGAAACTACCACTAAACACTAAAAGGCTAAGAGGCTAAGGGGATGGCTGGGAGCCACCCATTTATGATATCCACGATTACTTTGTTCAACAGGATCATCTCTGAAAATTGACTTAGACATCAGAAAGAGAGTGACATAGTAAATGAACAGGGGCAACTAAATATAAGATATGTAAATTGATGATCAATAGCTCCTGAAGATATCATCCTTCTCTTTCTAGAATGTTGATGGAACATCCAAGCCCGTTTGCTCTGCAAAGCATGAGTCCGCCGATGCAGCGCTTGCCAGGCGCGAGCTTCGGTGGAGGCTCGACAGGCACGGCACGTTTCGGATTTGATCTGCGACAATCAACAAATTCCAAATTTTGCAGTCGTGTTGCAGTTGTGTCAAGACGTTCCTGGTTGATTGGTGTTTTACTCGTGTCCTGTAGGAGTCCTGTGCCTGGTCCCTGTGAACATCGCATTCAAGTCAGGAGGTTCAGGTTTCTCAGGCGGCTTGAACCATCTTCACTTGCCCAAAGCCAATCAACGTTTTCTATTCGCCAGGTTTTTCCATGGTGGCCCATTTCAGTCCAGGGCCCAACAGGTCTGCGTCAGAAAGGGTCCCAAGTTTTGATTGACAATTTACACACGTTCGTATCACTTCCGGCCTGTTACAAGGGTTCCATCGGGTTACCCAGTCTGGTTACCCAGTCTGGTTCCAGCTTCTAGGGGAACTGCGTACTCTGACGCAGACCCGTGATGCACTTTGTTTTCACAACCCCAGCCAGAACGTGAGTCAAATCCAGCCAGATGTTTTGTTAGGATGTTGCTGGCGGCCATTCAACTGTGCATCGCATTGCTGAGTGTACTTTTGAGGTCATAGGATGTGTGAAGCCAAACATCTCCACCTAGAACGAGTGGCGGCGCCTCCACTGCAGGCGGAGGGCCTGGGCCCGACTCTGGGCCATCCGGGCCTATGGCACACATGGCGCCTATGGGGCCCATGGGCCCTGGCCCAATGGGCCAGATGGGCCCTATGGGCCCTATGGGCCCTATGGGCCCAATGGGGCCCGCAGTGCAAATGGGCCCAGGTGGTCCCATGGGCCCCATGGGTTCGATGGGCCCGGGTCCCATGGGCCCGGGTCCCATGGGCCCGGGGCCTATGGGCCCGCCGGTGGCTGCATCCGGGCCGCCGTTTGGACAAGGCAGGGGGCTGCGTCTTGCCAGTTGGCTAGCATGGAGTCAACATGAGGCAAACATCAGCACGGGCGTTGCAAAACAAAAGCTCGCAAAGCGCAACATGGCAACACACACAGCCACTCCAGGGTTAGCAAGTAGCCATCTAAAGTCCAACAAACAAAGCCAGCCGTTTTCAGGGCAACCAGTTTTTTCCTCTTGAGTCACAACAGGGTTTGGCCCTGAGTGGATTTCGAGTCACTACGAGTCATTCCGGTGGGTTGCCCAAGCCAGCGGCAGGCCAAGTGCCGACTTCCACCGACACGGGCCCTGCACTACCTTGGGAGCCACTGGCTGGGGCAGACTGCGTGGTGCCCATGTGGAACATGCAGGAGCCGAGTCCGCGTTCAAACGGACTGGCAAGCTTCTAGCTCAAGTGTCCGATGACAAGTTGTTCACCTTCAAAGGGTCCCCATGTCATCCTTTCCAATTACACGGTCCATTTTCACGGGCCCCCGTTGGAAAGCTACCAGAGGCGCGCCCGGATAAGCCAGGAGTTCCTGTGCGAAGAGCATGGTGAAGTACCGGAGGAGCGTGTCTTGGAGGATTCCAAGGGCATCAAGCGCAAGCGCCTGAAAGCGCCTTTGGCTGCCTAAGCTGTACCCAAGCGCCCTTTTGACACCAAAGAGGCTTCTGCAAACAGTTCAGATACAAGCAGCCTCAAAGCTGTTGAATGTTTAAGCTGGTTTGCATGGCGTTGTATGCATGAGGAAGAGGGAAATCATTCAAACGCTTGTTAAAGGGCTGGGGCGGGAAGCGAGTTTCGAGTGGTTGCTCTTGGGCCAACCTACCTTGAAGAAAGTCGAGGCTTCAAACTCCTGTGTCCATCTGAACGTCTTACTTCCTGAGTTCCGTTTCGGACTTTTTGGGAAGACCGTGTTGGTGGTAAGGAAAAGGTGTTTGTTTTTTGGACCATACGCTCAGGAAGGGAGAAGGTAGACGTAAAGCTGGCGGATTTTTAGGCAGTGGGGCTGAAGCTAGGCTCGCTTCCCCCCAGTCTTTCGGATTGAAACAACCTTGTGGGAAGCTCATTTTGGCGCCAAACAACAATTCCCCGTAAAAGATACATCCACACACCCGCTTCTTGAAAGGGCCCCTCTAAATCAGCTAAGGGACCCCTGGACCCAAGGTTGGATGTTTTGGATCAGTCCACTCCGGAAGTGAGTTTTTGTTTGCCGACCCAAATCCCTGAAGATTCTTCCCTTCAGCCCACTTGATGGGTTCCTGACACAACACGATAACCCAAAACCCTTGTTGTACAAGAGCATCCTCTAAATCACTTGTGCAAACGTGACAAACTTGCATTCAAGGACTCACTTGCCTATTTGGTTCCGCGGTCCTTGCAAGTAAGATGTCCCTTCTTCCTCGGATGTTTCCCCATCAGTCCCTCCAAACAGATGGCCATGGGTCAAAACCAATGGTACCATTTTGGGGTAGGTGCACCACCCATTTTGGTCGGGATGTTAGTGGGGATTGGGATGTTCACTGGGGGTACGATTTGGATTTTGACCCATGGCCAAATCTACAACAGGGGCCCCCTTTCCCCTTCCGAACTTTCGCCGCTTCATGAGGACGGGGAGGACTGCACTACCAGATGCCCCCACGCACGCTGGTGGCAGGCACCCAGCCAAGAGACCATGCGCCTCGGACTGCTGACCACACCATCCACGCCCCCCAGCGGGGAAAGGGACATGTTTGAAGAGGAAAGTCCTTCTTGGTTGATTAACCCGCATCAGGAAATAATATGACTAGTTTGTAACTATGGCTTTAAGTGGGGTAGCCGGAATTAGTCTGGGGATAGTCGTGAGTTTATCTTACTTCCTAAGTGGGATGAGCATCCAAGCACAGAGCTCTGCCTACCGACTCTGTGGGCTGAGGATCTGCAAAGATGGGCGGTGGCGCGATGACACTGGCCGCGTGGCGAAGGAGCCATGGCTCCAAAGTCCATGCACTTGAAGGTTACCCTCCCACCAATTAAGACGTTTGGAGGGTCCAAACCGGCCATTTTCCTTATAAAGGGACCCCCGAACGTCAGGTTCCATGTCAATGGTTGGGAGGGTGGGGGCTTGATTCTACCCCTGATCTTGAGACCTTTTGAGTATCAGGGTTTGATTCTGACCCATGTGAGGCTTGTTGGAAACCCGCTGCCTTGGGGATTCCAGGTTCGCGGTTCGGGGCATGGGGTGCTCACTGAACTCTTCACAAACACATGTTGCGGAAACTTGCGGCGGGTTACTCACCCAGATCATTCAGAACATACCTCAACGGCGGGCATGTCACGTGTGTCACGCATGGCACGCGCACACACAGACACACAGACCCACAAACACACACAAATCCACAGACCCACACACATGCACACACACACACACCACACACACACACATGAGGCGCTATCGATATGTATATGCTGTTGACAAGCCTGGAAATGGGAAGAACCCGTGATTCATCCTCGAGGTCACGCCTTCACCCCAATTTAACACCCAGACCTGTCTGTTCTTCCAATCCTTGATGCAGGATTTGTGCCATATCCCGCTTTTACCACCCTCATTCCATAAGACGTTGTTCACCCACCCACCCCCTCCCGCGTTCAATTCGCTGTGTCTTGTGTGCATTTGCTTTGCACAGCGCAGGAGTTGATCTGCGACACCCGGAACTCGCCACCTGGTGATCTGGCGGGGCGGCTGCCGTGGGGTCCAAAGACCCCCTTGAAGCCCGCGCCCATCGATCAAGGCTAACCCCTAAAAACTCGTGGGTGTTGGTGGGGTTCCGATTCCAACTCGATAGCAGTTCGCCAAGAAGGCTTTCCATGTGTACCGCAGAAGTGGGCAATCACACAATCCTGTGCTTCCATTCGGCTGAGGTATTTTGGTTGATTGACCTCTGTTGTTGATAGGCATATGGACACCCAGATGAGCGAAGCCGATGTTAGGGGATGGCCGGTGTACCACAAACGAACCAGGCTTCCTAGCTACCCAGGTTTGGCAACGCAGCCTGGAAGCACGAATCTAGCTCCAACGGCTTGCAGGTTGCTTGGAACAGCAGTGGAATCTGACTGAAGAAGCCAAGAGGGAAGTTATCTTTCAATGCAACTCCCTTAGATTTCGTGAGTGTCAGTTCCTAGAGGTCTTGGGACGGTGTCAACTCGAGGCTTCCTTTTGGGCCCAGGTTTTACTTCGGGACACTCCTGGTGGTCGCGATCCTAGCCTTCCTTTGCACGCCCGGCGGCCGAAAGTCCTTCAAGAAGGCCGGTTTCTCTCTCTCTCTCTCTCTCTCTCTCTTTCTCTATCTTTATTGTGAGCTCTTTTCTTTTTTTCCAGTATGTCAATGTGTCATTATTGTTGTTTGTTTGTGTTTGTTCTTTCCTTTTCTTCCTTCGTTTGATTTCTTTATGTACTGTATGTATGTGTTCCATGTTGGTACGTCTTTATCATTGTTGTCATTATTTCTTGATTCCTTTCTTTTTTTCCTCCTTTCTTTCTTGTTTCGTTATTTGTTTTCTTTCTTCATTTTTTTCTTTCTTTCTTTCTTTCTTTCTTTCCGTCTTGCCTTTTTGTCTCTTTCTCTCTCTCTCTCTCTCTCTCTCTCTCTCTCTCTCTCTCTGGCTCTCTCTCTCTCTCTCTGGCTCTCTCTCTCTCTCTCTCTCTCTCTCTCTTTCTCTCTCTCTCTCTCTCCCTCTGGGGCGCATTTTGGGTTGGATTGTCAACCCACGGCAGGTAAGTAGGTTATAGCCATGGATGCAAATGGGGTAACTAGTAGTTGTAAGTCTGTTTCCCATGGCCCTTATCATAGCCTACCTGCTTGCTGGGTTGTTCAACACAACCCAGAAGTGGGCGAACGTCGAAGTGCAGCTGTTGGCAAGGGCGCACTCCCTTATTCATGCTTGTGGTCATAACCTACTTGATGTGGGTTGAACACTAAAGAAGCGCCTGGCTTACTTTTTCGGGCGTCCCCCAAGAATCGGTGCCTCCCTACCCCTAAAAGGTGACCCCTTGCACCCCGAATAGGTCTCCTACAGATTGCAACCCGTTGCTTCTAAGCTTGCTGGTGCTCAACGGGGAATGAGGAATGACCCCGAAAAACCATCCCCTATAGGTTTCTCTGTAAGAGATCCCCCCGTTCATTCCCTCACTCCTTGCCCATCGCCAGCCAGTGGGTTGAGCGCGCGCCAGGCGGCGGGGCGCAAAGCTGAAGCCATCAAGGCGAAGGTCCGCCGCAAGCGTGCGGGAGGCGCGAATCCACGAGAGGGTCGGAGGGGCCTCCTTGGAGTGAACTGACTGGGTCCCTTGACGTGAACCATGGCTCATGGTTTTTCCTTTGGTTCTCCTGAAAAAGCAACCCACAAAACGGTAGCCTCAAAAAATGAACATGCCAACATGTGTGGGGCCAGCCCGGAAAGTGGTGGGTTTCCAGACTGCTTCTGGGGGTGGGTTCGCTTTCGACCACCATGCGGAGGGCATTTCGAGGGTGCCATGCCCGTTTTTTGCAAGTCACTTCAGCATGTGGTTTGCGCATTGACGAGGCTCGATGCGAGAGCCCCTTGGAGACCCAGCATACCCACTGATTAAGACTAGAACTGAGAATCGTCCCAAGTGGATTCGGGTTGCCTCATCCCCCGAGTTCCGGGATGGGACCTCATAGCACCTTGGCTGCATGAAACCCATCGACACCTGCAAAACAACGACCAAACCAGAACAGCAGACGATTGCAATTGGGTCCTGTAGCTTGGTTGCTCTTGGGTTGGATCTCTAGACTAACTATTTGGGCAATGCGTCGATGCGCAGGAGAGGAGTCGGAGCCGGACTCCCCAAAGGAGACCCAAGACTCGGAGCCGCAGAAGGCTCCGGAGGCGCAGGACGCGGCAACTCGGATCCATGGGTCGGCTGTTGGCTCTTTGTGTTTGCGTGCGCTTGTGTGTTTGATTGCTATTGTTTAATTGGTTGCCGGTGGTCAAAACCCCCTGGAAAATGACGCATGTTGATCCAGGTTGAATTCCCCCCCCTTTCCCCGGGAAGAGAAAGGCTCACCCCAAAAGAGGGCCCCTACACTTTGAGGAGATCCCTTTACACTCCCGCAGGCCAGCGTCCTTCGTTTGGGGGACCTTGTTGTTGGGGGGCCACGTAAATTTGGGTTCACATTTTTGAGGGTAGAATTGTCGGGGTTGATTTCTGTGTCTGAGGACAGCCGCATTTGGACGGAATACTTTCTCAACGCCCAACGCGGCAGGCAAACCTGCGGTCTGTATCGCCATGGGGCACTCAAACAGGGACGTTCCAGGAATGGGTTTTGGAGTCATATGCCGCACATAGGTCTCTTTGCGTTTCAAGCTTATATTTCGGGCACATAAAGCATGCGTACCTCTAAGAACCATGGACATGCCCTTGAAAACACCACAGGCCTGTTTTTTGTAGCACCCCAAAACCCCAAAACCCTCATGATATAATAACATAGTAAATAAATGCAGCCTGATATTAATGAACCCATCGTAAGATCAAACAACATTCCGGCAGGAGGCAGCGGCACCTGGCGCGGAGCCTGCAGAGAAGGAGAAGGAGCCCGCTGAGCAGCGCCCATAGAGTCCATGAAAAACATAGATTTGGGCTGGTTAAATGACGCACCCGCCTTTGCCAGCTAGTGTTGAGGATTTGTTGGTAGCATCAGGTTGTTTTTGGATGTATCCGTTTTAGCACGGAACTTGTGTGGGGTCCTGCCAGGTTCCATGCAAAAATTGGTGGCAGGGCAAATAAATGCAAAATAAGATCTATGGAAAGAGAGTAAGATCAAACAAGACTCCCTTGAAGAGCTTTTGTTTAGACACCTCTCCCCGCAAAGTTGGACCACTCCCGCAGGAGGCAGCGGCACCTGGCGCGGAGCCTGCAGAGAAGGAGAAGGAACCCGCTGAACGACACCCAAAAGGGCAAAGGGCAAACAAGCCTAGTTGAGTCTAGCAGTTTATAAATGCACCCTGTTTAAATAATTATCAGTTTTCTTAGACCGCCGGGTCCCCAATACTACATACTTTTAGAATAGGCCAACTCTAAGCCAATACTCAACCTGGCTAATTGTTGTCCAACCCCGACCCCAGTCTCATTCGGGGAGAATGCAGGACCTGTACTAACCTACGGTGACCCAAACAAATCCAAAGAGCTGCTCTCTGTCAAAGTTTGTACTACACCCAATTTTCCAAGTTACAATGTGGGCCTGTTCAAGGAATGAGTACATTTGCTTCTGGGGTGCCCAGTTGACCCCTAATTACCCAATTGATAATGTGTTTTTGACCCCCAGCCAATGTTTCTCAGTAGAGGGCGTATTTACAATTAGGGGAAGCGAACAAGGTTTTAGGGGTGCATCCCCTCCCCAAAAAAAAAACAATGTTGGCAACACATCCTCAAAATTAGCTGGCAAAGGCGTTTGGGTCCTTGACAAGCCCAAATGTGTAGCCATGTTGATAGAACCAACAGTCAGTGGGTTTTCAGCGCCGCTCAGTTGCCTAGTGGCACGCTGCTTCCATCGCTAGCACCAATGGTTTTGCATAGGAGAAAAGGGCACCTTTTTTGAGAGGGGCCTCTGATTCTAAATGAAAACTGAAAGCCGATCGCGACCAAGTTGCTTAGTCGGTTCCCCACTATACATGGAATCAACCAAAAAAACAATGTATTTTCTGCTATTGGTTCCTTCGCAGCTGAGCAACCAGTTCATGTTTTTTTTGGACACCCTGGGAAAGCTGCTATAACCCTTGGTTCGAGGAACTAAACGTGTAAGTCACTTGAATCATCCTTGGAGCAAAAATTCGAAGCGGGGAAGGGGATGAATTTAACTTTCGCCACAAGGTCGAAGCCCCGGCCTCAGTTTGGGCTCGTTTTATGTTAGGGATAACTTCCCTTGTCTTGTCACTGATCCTGCCTTCCATTAAAAAAGCAAAAATAGATAAGAATCAACACCCAGGGGGCACCGCCTGAATTTCGAACATGGCGACCCCAGATTTGCAGGGCATGGGGAGGTGTTTCTCAAGATTCGGCTCTGAAACTCTCAGAGCCCCGGCACTGCTACATCACCAGTCCCTGGGTTTGAGTATCTATGTTGGAGCCATTGATGGCGCAGGGCTGCAAGTTTCACATTCGACGTGTGTGTCTTTGTTCTTGTGAGGGTGCTCTTTTCAGGTTGGTTTAAATGGGAAACCAACATGAAAGCCACCGTTTTGGGGTGTGCGCCCGTGTTTGTTTCATGTTATTGTTCTTTACCTAGCAAGCGCAAGCAACAGGAGCGCCCAGCTGACCAAGCGCCGGAGGAAGCGAAGAAAGCCGAGGTCCAGTGAGCCCTTTCAGCTGAGTTTCGTTGCTTCGTTAAAGGCCAAAGCCAGCCAGCCAGCTGGCATTGTGCCAGGGTTGATTGGCCTATCTCAACTGCACGTTGACTCTGTGAAGGTTACGTTCTCCGTCCATGTCATGCGACTTTTCTAGAATCAATTGAGCAATTTGCCACGGTGTACTGACCCATTGAAGGCATTTTGCGCGCAAGCCGTCCGTGTTAAATACTGCCCCACGCGCCCAGAGTAGAGAACACAAGCGACATGTGCCAGTGGAAAATGCCGTTTGCGCGACCAACTGAGAAATGAGGACGCGCTTTGCATGTGTTGATTGTCGGGGGCAGGGCCTCGTTGCAAAACAGAGATGGCCCAAGTTTGAGGTGATGGTGCACAAAGCCGATACTTCAATACGCATATATGAGGAGAACACACCACAACCCCAACCACACCCTTTGGGGAAGACTAAAACCGAATGTGTTTGGATGTGTGTGTGTGTGTGCCTGAGTCTGCTGCGGTAGGAGCGGTTTGACGAAGTAAATTTCTTCTTGTGGATAAGCAACAATTGTCCATTTGACCCTGGGGTCCCTTGGTCCGTTGTGCTTTTGTTACCGGGGTGGTTTGGGGATGAGATGTGTTGTCGTGTTTTTTTGTCTAGGTCCGTTTTTGTTACGGAGGCTGGTCCCCTGGTTGGTTGGTTGTTTGGTGGGTGGGTGGCTTGGTTCCGGTGGTTCCGGCGGCTTGGCGCTAGGTTTGGTACTGGTGAACCCGGCCACCTCCTTCGATCGCACGGCCTGGCCACTGCTTGGCGCGGGCCCAGGGGTGTGTGTCTTCTTTGAGGTTGCTTTGTGGGTTCCCCTCACTTCCTGACTTTTTGGACGTTTAAACTTTTTGGGATGATAATTTTAGTGATAAATACAAGGCTTGGACTTTTTGGCTAATCCACTCATGAAGTGACTCTCCGCTTTGCTCAGCAGGCTTCAATCGGTTAGTATGTGAGGCAGCGCGTAACGACGTACCCATACCCCTTCGACCCGAAACCTCTAAGAAGATTCCTTCCGAACCTGTCAGGGGGTGAGGTGTTTAGGATTGCTGTTCCCCGGAACGAAGACGGTAAGCTCACCGTAAACTGGAAGGGTTTGTCTGGCGCAGAACAAAGCTGCCAGTGCGTTTATTTGCGAAGTTGGTGGTGTCTAATCTTGCTGGTCGAGTTGGCGGATTGGCAGCCTAGTTGATTCCACCTACCAGGGGATGCCTTAAATGTATCTAGCTTTTCTTCCTTCCTGCCAGCCTACTTTTTGGTTTAGACAAAACAGTAATATGTGTTGGCTAAGCTGTTCAAGCTAATGCCACCAATCAGGGCAGCAAGCACATCGCTACACACCTTGATTAAGTCTTTCGCATGAGGGCTGTTTCAGTTGACAGCTGCTCTTTCACAGGTGGCTTGTCTCGGGAGCGCAAAATATGTGAAGTCGTTCCTTCAGTTTTGGGGCGATTTGAGGTTTTGCTTTTGGCGGGGCGGACTATGCGCGTTTCTAAGGGTAATTAGTGGTCCTCTTTTGGAATGGTTTAAAAGGAAATGCGAGATATGAATCTGGAGGCGCCCCTTATTCTGAGAAGCACCCATAGAGGGGACCCCAAAGACAAGCCCCGAAAGAGGTCTGCCACCATGGCCACGTCCATGTGGCTATGGCTCGCATTCTGCAAAATGTTAGACCAATCTCCACTGCAGGCTCGGGATGCAGACGACTAAGTCCACTGTTTGAGGCCCAAACCGAGCATTTTCAGTGGTTCTCAGAAGTACTTGTGGAGGGGCATGCAAACAGCCTCAGGGTAAAGGGTCATACTTCTGGGGTGCCATTAGATTAAATGGGCACAATTGGGCACATCTTCCCGCAGCGGCCCAGTGAATTAAGTTGCATTGAATGTGGGTATGTTCACTTTCCGCCTGATGTGAGAGGGAGAATGGCCATGACTGACACCAGACTTTCCTTTGGAGACAAGATGTTCAAGCTCAAACGGTTGGGGGTGGGATTAAAGTATGTATCATGTGTCGCCTGAAGTCGGGCAGCCCCTGAGTTGGTGGTTTGGATTGGCGGTAAGTCGGGATTTTGGCCCGCCCACCCTGACTTCCAAACCACCAATGGTAGAGCTGCAAGGCCGAGCCCTAGCCGCTGTGCCCAATGCGCGAGCGCTCAGCATGCAATTGAGGTGTCAAATCCATTGGCTATTTTAGGTTGTTCTAGTGCGGTGTTGGGCGCTGATCAAGTGGCGTTTGCAGACCTCGGGTCGTCTCCAGCGAGTGTCAACTGACGGGATCCAAGGACCCTGCCACCTGCGGATAGCATAGAGAGAGCCGAGAAATAGAGAAAGCGAGAGAGAGAGAGAGAGCGAGAAAGACAGAAAGAAAGAAAGAAAGAAAGAAAGAAAGAAAGAAAGAAAGAAAGAAAGAAAGAAAGAAAGAACGAAATACATTCACACAGAAATACAGAAAGAACAAAGGAGATAAAGAAAGAACAAACCAAAGAAACAAACAAAGAGAGAAAGAAGGCGAGAAAGAGACTAGGACCCTGCCCCACGTTGCCAGTCCCCCTGTTCGGAGAGTCCAATTTAGTGGTTGGTCTAAACATGGGTGGCATAGGGTTCCGGAGAGAACCTCTTCCGCTTGTTTTCTCCAAAGAATGCTTGAATAAGGTCCACTAAGCATCAGTGTGGCCATGTGCTTCGGATTGGTCAAATTGACCATCTGAACTGTTGGATTCTTAATGCCTAACGAACGCGTTCCTGGATCTTGGGATCTTCCATGTTGTACCAACCCCACGTGTCAACCAATGGGAATCCAACCGTGCAATCAGAAAGCCATTGTGTTTCCAGCTCCAGTATTGGACAAGTATGCAGCTGCAGCCATTCTAAGAGCCAAAGGCCTATTTCCCGCTTGTGGAAACTCCAAGAAAGTGTCCAAATGACCCAAATCCCTGGTTTTCGTGGGTGGGAACGGCTCCCGGGTCCCGAGCTGCCAGGAGCCACAGGCTTTGCCGCCCTGGCTGCCCCACAAGGACCTGGACGATCTCTTCCAGGAGCAAGCGAACAGGTTGCGCCCCTTCTACCCTTTGGGTTGGTTTTCACATCACCTGGGCCGGTTTCAGATGAGATTTTTCTTCTGGAGGGGTCAGGTTTTTCAAAAGAGAAATGTACAATCTGGGCTATTGAAGCGCTACCTGGCAAAGCAAAAGGAAACCACCAACATTGTCACGTCCGTCCGTCCGTCCATTTGTTTGTTTCTCTGTCTGTTTGTTTGCCTGCCTGCCTGCCTGCCTGCCTGTCTGCCTGCCTGCCTGCCTGTCTGTCTGTCTGTCTGTCTGTCTGTCTGTCTGTCTTGCTTAGTTGCTTTGGTCTTTGTGTCGCCGATGCTCAGAAGCTGCGGCTCCTGAAACATTGCGTGTTGACATAGCGGTTTGTCTCAACATGAGGGAAGGCACCCCAAACAGGGCGCCCTCAAACGAAAAAGCGGACCCACCCTTGATTGGCTTTCGGATTCCGTGCCATCCCGCCAGGATCTGCGCAAACGTGTCCAGCTGTCGCCCTACCCGTACTTGGCGGGCTCAGCCGGGCTGCCCATTGGCTTCGCCCACATGGGGGCTGCCAGACTGCTCACTCAGTTTGAGTCTAATTACACTTTTTTGTCCATGCCCCTTTGGTTTGTTTGCTTTGGGGGATGCAAAAGGACACAGCTCATTTGAAGCGACTCATGTAAGTTATGTGAGGGCCAAAAGCCTTCCTTTAATTGTTTCTGTCTTGTTGTTGCTTCCTCCGAAAGCCAAATAACAACTACAACCTGGCTCTGGGATTGTCTCTGCTTTGTGTGTTTCCCCGTTGTTTCCCCAAACCGAGAGCCCTCAAATGCATCCTTAGAAGGTACTTGCACCCTGTGAGGAACACCATAGCAACAAGCCCCAAGGTAGCCCATGCTCACAGGACTCCTGGTTGCTCTGAAAGGCTCCCTCTAAAGCAAAAGTTGGATACCTCCGGAACGGCTTCTATCCACCAGCTAGAACCAGCTGCAATAAGCAAAGCAGCATCACGACCCAGGCGCTCACGGGCACCGTTGCCGACAGCACGCAGTTTCTGGCCTCAGCTCGGCCGTGCGTTGCGGGGCAGTCATTTTCACGCCGGACTCCAGCGTCTTTGGGCATTTTTTGGGCAGCCCCAGTTTCAGGTAACCCTTAGTTGGGCCGGGTAGGTAGCTCTCAATCGGACATATGACCCCACAAGAAGGCTCGAAAGGAGCAGTCTGGGGTCTGGGGTGTGATACAG